CCGTACGTTCTATCCGTTGACTCCTTCATACCTCTGTCCGTTGAGGTGCGCAATAACCCATATTTCCTCTAGGTGGCAGTGCTGGGCGCCAATGATTCGTCATTGATCAAAACATGGCGATGGTCAAAGACCTGATTCTGTTGCATTTGCTCCGTAAGCGAAAGAAAAGTAAAAAACGAGATCGACGGTGGAACGTGAGGCCATTGAATATCAGTCGCCCTTTTGATGGGGAATTTTGCAATTTGGTGTTGCCTATGCGGGAGATGGATGTTCCATTGTTTAAAGCACAGAATTCTAACCTTCTTTGTGATTTTGTTGACATTTTGTACTAAAAACTCAATAGCGCCCCCACCGTTTCCGGTAGTATTGTATCGTCCGTAAGCGTAAGCTCCCAATTTTCGTGTCAAAGTACGGACGAAACCGACGGTTAGAACGTATGAAACACTCCACACGTATCCGTATCCGTCTTTTACGTGAGGTATGAATGGGCCTTTACTCGGCGACCACTAGCTTTTTTGGCGTTGCCTTGACAACCTAACCTCCGTAACTTGTGTTGATTAGGCCTCAAAATAATGAAATTAAAATCCAAATACACGTAACAGTAAAATAAAACAAGTCAAAATCTTTTCCCAAAATATTCATAACAAATTTATAAATTGTGCAAAGTATTTTTAATAATAATAATAAAAAAAAGGTCTCCCTCTTGCCACTACGGGGTGCTGCAGCACCCCTAGCGCCCCACTTGCTGCGATCATGTACTGAGGTGTCAGTCTGCTCATCAAAAAATGTTTTAGCCCTAAAGGGTAAACTAAAAAGGCTATTTTAAAGATATTTTTTTAGTAAAAACTTACAAACATTTCTCTTTAAGTTAAGATTTTTTTTGGATCCATTTTTTGTTGCTAAAATTGAAAGAAACATATATATATATATATATATATATATATATATATATTTGAATGAATTTTCCAATCAGCTACAGCTCATAACTCATCATCTTTACAGACTAGACAATTTATTTCTGTTTAGGGGTTAATGAAGGTTCAGTTTCTTTCTTTTTCTTTTTCTCCAGACATAAATCGCATTTCCTTCAGCCAAAAAATCTAGTCTTGCTGATGTTCTTTTGCTTTCTTGTGTGCTTTCTATTTTCCAAGCTTATTTCTTTGAATGTTTTATGGCCTGACACTTTGATGTCTCCCTTGGTCTACCGAGATGTTTCCCTTCAGTCTTTATTTGTTATTTCCTTCTTTTTAAGAGCTTCTGTCGCCCCCCCAGGTGGAATTCTGTCTTAAGAGTTTTATAGTCCTTTCCACTGCTCAAACCGACTGTTCTCTTGTTGAAGCCGTCTTTCTTTCTAAAGTTCAATCACTTTTAAAGCAGAACCATTTGCATAGATCGACTTAGTTAGCAACAATCTTGACTTAATGTGCAAATGTAATGCAATTTTTCCAAAATACGATTTACAAAGTACTCCTATTCAACAACACTTTACTATATATATATATATCTATATATATATATATATATATATATATATATATATCTATATATATATATATATATATATATATATATATATATATATATATATATATATATATATTTTTTATTTTCATCACTAAAATTACACCTTTATTTAATAGCCTATAAAACTATATAACAATAGTTTAAAAGAAATCCACATACATGGTTTAAGCCCTCAGCTGTGTGAGGTTTTAATATAAACATGTCCATAAATCTGGAAAAGATTAAGCTGTTTGTTTCAATATTTCATACAGATTTTTCATTTATTTCCCTGAAATGCTTCAAACCATCCTCTCTGTCTTTCCATCTGGTTCTATGTTCAAGTGTAAGCCCTTCATATCAATATTGCACTGATAATGTCCTTCAGCTTTCAGTATTTTCTTTTTACTTTCTCTTTGTTTTTTTCCATCAATGTTCCTGAACCACCTATTCACCGGCTGTTCTTTTGCTTTGGTTTTTAATTTCCAGCCCAAATAACCAGAGGGGCGTCCTTTCCTCCTCCTGCCTCGGTTTCCTTTAATCCCTGGAGTTCTTTTGCCTTGAGTCACAAAAAAAGACGCTGAAAGTCTCTGGAAGGTTGTTGCGTTTCCTCCTTTGAATGTTTCTGAATTTGAATTGACCCTCGTGGTTTACCGTATTGATTCGTGCCACATATGCCACCGAGGTTTGAACTGTGTGAGCTGTTTCTAAGGCACAGCAGCAGGTTCTTAAGAGCTGCAAATCCGTGATTATGTAAGACATGCTTACAGATGCCAATTTCATTTGTCTTCATTTTCGCTGCTGCTTTCTCTGATTTAGATTAGATTTGAGCTGCTTTTTGCTCTTTTGCTTTCTTGTTTTCATCTCTCTGTCTTCATCTTGCCTTGTTTTGTTTAACAAAACACAAATATTGAGATTCTCAAACATTTTCTATTTTGCAAACTCATTTATGTGAAATTTCCTTTCTAAAGATTATACCTTTTGCTACACAGTAACATATTTAGATTTTATTTAGTCTATTAGATCAAGGGTGTGCACATCTAGTCCTTAGAGCTACCATCCTGAAATTTCAGTTTCAGGTGTATTTAAAAAGGGTTGCAGGATGGTTCCTCTGAGGACTGGGTCTGAACTTCCGGTCTCTAAAAGCAGAGTGGTTAAAAAGCTGTCGAAGAACTACTAAAGGAAGTGAATGAAATCATTTCCTACAGCCAGTGGCATGTTCTGCCTCAGTGCGCTGAGAACTACAGCAGAGGCGCATTCAGAGGAGTAAGGATTATCCTGTAAGCTGCAACATGTATTGCATTACACTAGTTTGCTGCTGATTTCATTGGAACACAGTTTTTTGATAACTTTGACGTAATAAGGCCACTTATCTTTGACTGGTCTGTGTAAGGCAGCTGAAGTTCCTTAAATGAACTGCTTGTTTTGCAGTTAAACCAGCTTAAATTTTTAGTGAAAATCATTCATTTTCTTGATGAATTCCCAATTCTGTTCGTGCTTCAACCGTCTAACCCAAAATTTTCCCTTCTGAAGAAGCATAAATATGTTTGGAAATCTTAGACTCAAACTTATCATTAGCCAGGATCTGCAGTAAAACCGTCGTTTCAATATCGGCATTGGCTGTTACAACCTGAATGAACAACCTTTTGAAAGATCAGCACCCCCACCCTGACTGATGTTTACAGCTGTATAACCCTTAATGACTGCTGCAGAGAAGCTTTATAGCCACTCTGTATGATTAGAAGCGATACCAGCTAAGCATAGCAGTGGCTGCATCATGCTTAGGTTGTTTTCAGTTTTTCAACTTTCCTTCAAATCACGTTTCTTAATGAAACTTTTAATTTTTTGATATTTCAACAGGACATACACTATATTGCCAAAAGTATTTGCTCACCCATCCAAATTATTGGAATCAGGTGTTCCAATCACTTCCATGGCCACAGGTGTATAAATTCAAGCACCTAGGCATGCAGACTGTTTTTACAAACATTTGTGAAAGAATGGGTCGCTCTCAGGAGCTCAGTGAATTCCAGCGTGGAACTGTGATAGGATGCCACCTGTGCAACAAATCCAGTCGTGAAATTTCCTCGCTCCTAAATATTCCACAGTCAACTGTCAGCTGTATTATAAGAAAATGGAAGTGTTTGGGAACGACAGCAACTCAGCCACGAAGTGGTAGGCCACGTAAACTGACGGAGCGGGGTCAGCGGATGCTGACGCGCATAGTGCGAAGAGGTCGCCAACTTTCTGCAGAGTCAATCACTACAGACCTCCAAACTTCATGTAGCTCAAGAACAGTGCGCAGAGAGCTTCATGGAATGGGTTTCCATGGGCGAGCAGCTGCATCCAAGCCATACATCACCAAGTGCAATGCAAAGCGTCGGATGCGGTGGTGTAAAGCACGCCGCCACTGGACTCTAGAGCAGTGGAGACGCGTTCTCTGGAGTGACGAATCGCGCTTCTCCATCTGGCAATCTGATGGACGGGTCTGGGTTTGGCGGTTGCCAGGAGAACGGTACTTGTCTGACTGCATTGTGCCAAGTGTAAAGTTTGGTGGAGGGGGGATTATGGTGTGGGGTTGTTTTTCAGGAGCTGGGCTTGGCCCCTTAGTTCCAGTGAAAGGAACTCTGAATGCTTCAGCATACCAAGACATTTTGGACAATTCCATGCTCCCAACTTTGTGGGAACAGTTTGGAGCTGGCCCCTTCCTCTTCCAACATGACTGTGCACCAGTGCACAAAGCAAGGTCCATAAAGACATGGATGACAGAGTCTGGTGTGGATGAACTTGACTGGCCTGCACAGAGTCCTGACCTCAACCCGATAGAACACCTTTGGGATGAATTAGAGCGGAGACTGAGAGCCAGGCCTTCTCGTCCAACATCAGTGTGCGACCTCACAAATGCGCTTCTGGAAGAATGGTCAAAAATTCCCATAAACACACTCCTAAACCTTGTGGACAGCCTTCCCAGAAGAGTTGAAGCTGTTCTAGCTGCAAAGGGTGGACCGACGTCATATTGAACCCTATGGATTAGGAACGGGATGTCACTTAAGCTCATATGTGAGTCAAGGCAGGTGAGCAAATACTTTTGGCAATATAGTGTAGATCCCAAACAGGCCTTTAACTTGTTTTGAAATAAAAGTTGGCTTATCTTTGGCTTCTGAATGTACTCAACAGTGGAACTTTTTTGTTGTTAGCTTTATCTTCCCTAATAAGAAGAGAGATGATACCAAAACCTGGATGTTTGCTATAAAAAAATTGTTTTAACACAGTATTAAGGGTGGCTATCTTCCACAGGTTTATTAGAAAAAATCAGTACTAAGTTCAAACCTGTGCAGCAAGTTTATAATCTAGACCAGATCTTTTATTTTTGCTATCTGTTTAACTTATCTAAATTAATAAAAAATAAAAAGATTTTAATATGTAGGAATATTAATTCATTTTTTTTTTCATCTCACTATACCTTGTTTTTTAATCTTTTTCTTTTCTTTTTCTTTTAGCCAAAGCAGCGCACATCCCTGTCTTCCTCTCTGGACGTCCAAAGGCCAGTCAACCACAGCTGTGAACCCAGTGAGGTGAGCTCTTCCCTTGGCTACGCCAGCTTCAGCACCAGTCCCCCTGCCAGCCCTCCTCTCAGCCCCAATCAGGAGGACTCTGCAGGCTCCAACGACGACTGTCAACTCACAGGTAGAACAGTGGCTTTAATATTTCACTTCAGCTTCACTTCATCTCATTAGAGGATGCATAGACATCCTAGAAAGTTGGCTTTCATCTTTGTCCAGTGCTGAAATGTTTCTGCGATAATCATACTACTGAAGAATATATAAAGGCTGGAATAAATAAGGATTGACAAATTATTTGGAAAAAACATTCAAACTAGTAGATTCAATTTATTTACCAAGACTTGGTGCTCAGGTGGTTTTCAGTAAAAAGTTTGAATGACTTTTAGCTCTAAGGGTGAGACATTGTTTTTGCTGCAGCGGTTGTTCTTTCACTGCATCTTTTTTCGCCCGAGTGAACATAGAAGCTAATCTCTTTCAGCCTGAAGACCAAATGAGACTTTATATCTTTTGCCCTTGGTGTCAAGAAATTGAAATCGTATTTCTGATGCTGTCACACAGGAGGGTAAGCCAAAGAGGCAGGCAAACACCTCACAGGCAGAAATTAGATCTCAGGGGGAAAAAAACAACCAGACATAGCTGGACTTTCCTTTCAGATTGGATAACTCGGTGGGAATTTGGAGAAAAACTGTTAACCCCATTTTACTGAAAAACAATTTTAGTGTTGTTAGAAAATAGACTTCGTATTGTTTTAATCGGATGAAAATAAAACGAGTTGTGATTCTTGAGTTTCTCTTAATCTGATTGGTTCTTGTATAAGATTTGCTGTAGGGTCTCTTGGTGGTGATTTAAAACAGGTATGCATTGATCCTATAGCTAACGTCAACTACCAGCATGCACTTCCTGACTTTTGAAGCATCTTTTTGTTTTAGTTCAAATTTAAACATCATTTGAAGCATATTAGCCTAATATCTTAAAGAAACACCTTTGCTATAGCAAGACGATGAAATATCTTCTCTTAAAATAATCATTCATTTATCATATTCGACCTGTAAGAGGTTTGCTCTCATGTAGTACTGCTTTATATATATCATATAAATAGAACTATTATAAATTATATAATACAATATTGTTTGTAAATAAAAAGAAGACTAAAAGTAGTTCAGAAAACCAAAACTCTGCTAAAATGTGTATGAATTTTGTTAACTAAAATGAGACGAGAGAAAATAAGTTTGTAAATTTTAGTCGTGTTATTATATTTTTCTGTTTACCTCACCTGTGCGTCGCGCTGCTCAGTCCGCTGACGCAGGCATTGTCACTCCCTCAATCCCCTTCCTGAACTCCAAGCATTATTCAGATGCAGTGGGACAAAACGGTTTGAGTGAGTTGGAGTTATGGCCGCGTTTTATTGGAAGATCAAGAAGAAATTATATCCGGACAAACTTAAATTACAACCAGGTGAAAAAAACAATGCAGAACATGTAAGGTATAGTTCTCTTCTTCCGATGGGAGTTAGTTTAGGACTAGGATGTGAACTCAGTTTAGATTAAGATTAGGTCTATGTTGGTAATGGTTAAACCTGGGTTAGGCCATAAAATGAATACAAGTCAATAAAATCTCCCTATAAACCATAAAAACAAAGCTGTGTATGTGTGCGAGTATTATGTTTGTGTATCCACAACAACACACATAAATATGGCTAATTAGCTCTAACCAGGCGCTAATAACAGGATAAGAATTTGGTTTTATCTATACCTTACCAGGTAAGCATTATATATAAATTGTATTAAACAGAATAACCTTAAAATCCTTGACTTAAGCCAGACTATAGTGTCTTCAGTTTTCATCAACAACACTAGACAACAATATCCATGAGTTATTCTGACTAAAATAAGGCTACAATGATCAGAGTTTTAGTCGACTAAAAGTTGACTAAATAAAATAGTTTTAATGTGACTAGAATTAATAAAAACTAAAAAGACAGTTTGACACAGAGACGAAACTAAAAATAAAACAGGCTGCCAAAAACAAGCTGTTCTTAATGATCCTCTCCAGATTTTTTTAAAGCATTCTAAAGTGAAACCAAATGCTTTATTTCAGCCATTGCTTTTAACATTCAGGGATCTGCTTCCTTTGAGATGTGCCTGGAAAACCATCAAGGTGATGGATTCAGAATGTCATCCTTATCAAATGGATGAACTAACTCTGCTGACTTGTTTTAGTTTGAATCCATAAATGATGGAGACCCTCCATTTAAAGGTTGAACCAATGTGCTCTAATCACCTGGGAACTCCTGCTTCTGTTCATGGCTATCTCATAGTTATTCCTCCTTTGGATCCCTTCTTTTCTTTACAATGCCAAGGCTTCTCCCTTCCATCTCTTGGAAACCAGAGACCAAGATATTAAAACTCTACATTAAACTCTGAATTGTAGAATATGCCGGTGAAGATTCTCCATCATCCAGGTCAGAGTCATTCCAGTAAAGTTAAAAAAAACAACTGACTTGGAGACTAACTACCAGCCTGAAGGGACCAGTCCACCTTTATTTGTTTGATAGTAGTTTCTTTGGACTTAAAAGAGCTGAAGAACATCCAAGTTTCTTCATACTTGGCTGTTTAAAGCCCAGTGAAGGTGAAGGTCATGGCCTAAAGACCCTGACAGAATATTAGCTAATGTTTTTTTTTTCTTGCTATATCTTTGGTAGTCTAATTCTTTTAAATCTTCTGGTTGAACATGCAATATGTCAGATTTCCTGTTGGGAAAATATCGGTACAATGTCCGCAAGAACACAAACGCACCTTCTCTTGCAGTTCTTTAAGGATAGAACAACAATAATCAGTTTGATTGTCAAAATCTTCTGATCAGAAGTTTAAAAAAGAATTCTAAAAATAATCTGTGTCCTGCAGGTTATATTGTAGTTATGTGTGTAATGTATGCTTCTTTGACATAGTATTCTCTGTTGTATTTTCTATGAAATTATTGTCTAATAAAAGATAAAAATAGGCTATTAGGAGTAAGTTATTAATCTAAGGAAACACAAAGTATGTAGGCCTTGTAAACAAGATTCTTTTATAAATAAAAGTTCAGCTAAAAATCAGATAATGAGATTGTTCTCCAAAGGGAAGCATTATTACTTATCTTAAAATTGAGATTTTAAAAACATCAGCAAAAAAAGTTGTTGGTTCAGTGGGGAGTCCTTTCTGCTGTCACAGCAGATGAAGATTTGTTGGTTCCCTCTAATGATGCTTGTTCGCCCTGCTGCGTTTCAGAGTTTCATCTCTAAATGAAATGAAAGCAGTGATAAACGAGCTGGTTTCCTCTACAGCTTAATTATTAAGTCAGGCATCTATCAGCGGCACAAATGAGATCTTTAGTACATTTATCAAAAAAAAAAAAAAAATGATAATAAAAACAGATATTCTCTTTGATCAGGTGCGTTCACTGTCAGATGTACTTCCGACCTTGATGTCATTAATGTCATTTCCTTGTCAGGCTGATTTGTGTTACCATAGCGACGGGAGTCTTGTTGTTATAGCAAAGCGTTGTCCTTGGTTACGCTCGTTAACTAGTGATGTAATCATTAGTGCTTCCGTCACTCACCTGGCTTTCAGTCCAGCTCACATCCTCTGCTATCAGCCACAAACAGAGGAGTTGGAGCAGGGGAGGTCCACCCATCAGGAGGGTGTGTGTGTGTGGATGCTTGTTTCATCCTGCTGCAGTTCAGACGCCCTGCTGGACTTTGATCGCTGTGGTGCCTAAAATGAAAGAAGCGCATCATCAATCCACAGGTGTGTGTGCAGCAGACACACACCGACTCTAAAGGAGTGAAAGCTTGAAACATCTTCAGCTTTTATTCCCACTGAAGGAGTGTTTTGGCAACAACGTGTTATTTCCCTCTTGAACCTTCTCCCCTTTTGGCTTGAGGCTGATGTCTGCTGAAGACAAAATATTGCTCAAAGTCAAACATTTTCTTTTCTTGCTTTCAACAGCTTCTTTTCTGTAGGACTAAATTAGAAAGAAGTCCCACTTTACCAGCTCCTTATCCCTTGTAACCTGTAATGGCATTAATGTGTCTTTAGTGGATCGTTCTGTGTTCAGTGAATGGGGTCTATGAATATATAGATATAGACTGATGTGTCATTTTGTTTACATGTGTAAAACAAAAGGACATTTCATTTGGAACAGCTCTCTGGAGAATTTCATCTTTTTAAAAAGTGCATCCTTGAAAAATAGTAAAAAAAAAAAAAAATAATAAATATGGAAAAAAAGGGAGTACAGTAGAGCTCCACCAGCAAAGTAAAATAAACTAATAGACTTTTTTTTAAGGGTGAAAATCAGAGCATCATCTACCTTGATCTGATGTTATTGTCCATTTTTGGTGTCTATGTCCAACAGCAGACACGAAAGAGAAAGTAGTGTGCAACAGAAAAACAAATAAATTACATGAGAAATATTTGGATGTCTTCTGAGACACAGTGACCGATTTGTCCAATAGTTGTTTTTTTATATAATTTTTTAAAATGTGCATAAAACTTGTTTGTCTTTGCATTGTCACGTAGTCTGAAAAGTTTTAAAATTGAAAGCATTTTCCTCTAAAATCTAACTTTTAATCTATTCAATCCTTCCTTTTCTCAGTTCATCCATCAATCTGTTCATCTATTATCAGTTTAACCCAGGGATGGAGAGATGCAGCCTGAGAGAATCTGGTCGGCAGGAAGAATAAAAAAAGTTAGAAATTCTAAAAAACATGAATTTGTTGTTTGTTTTCTAATTATCCACTGGGGATGCGCTATTTTAGTCTAAGACCATACACATCACTGGGACAGCCCAGACAGCAGATGGCAGCAATGCACCTTCTGCTGGTATGTTTTATTTTTTTTATTTGGGACCCGCTTCCTTGTTTTCTGCTTTCCTTTACAATCACATTAACTAAAAAGGAAAAAATTGGAAACAGAATTTTTCAAGAATATTAACCCAGGAAACCTTTGTGCTTATATGCAACAGATGACTTTGTTAAAGTATCTATTCTTGTAATTCTTTGCACTAGAATAAAATAAAAACAGGGAATCTTTATTCATCGAATAGTTTGCTAGTCCTACTTGACATCCACCTAATTCCCGCTGCATT